TTTCTGCCTCAACCCATTTACAAAGCTCCAAACCTCACAGCCATATTAGATGCATCCTCCACAATTTAGTTCCTAGCCTTCAAGTCCATAGAAAAGGCTGCCATGGGTAAAAAGAAAGCTCTTCTGGTGACAAGAGAAAATAATGTGAATAGAAAAGAAGGGAATTTGTCCATTTTAATTCTATACTTTCCATTTTTAAAAAGGTTGACTATAACTCAATCTTGCATAAACTTATCTTCTAGTTTCCAGATGTTAATAATACCAAAACTTATTGGACCCTTATCATCTGGGTGCCAATCGTAATACTACATGTTTATTTACTCAACAAGGTAGACATTTTTAACTCCCCTTAAAAATGAATAAAATGAGCATTCTACAGCCTATAAGTGCTACACAGGACTCTAAACTAGGTCTGACCAAGAAATGTGCCTGACAAGCTACAGTTTCATCGTTTTGAGCTGCCAGCACCCTGCCTATCCCTAGATTTTTTTGGAGTATATATTGCTTGCTAAGTTTATCTGAGGTACAGATAAATTCAAAGAAAAGTTAACTTCTGTCCTTTAAAACAAATGCATTTTTAACTTTATTTTTAAAGATTATTTAAGTTACTTTTCAGTCTGTTTAAAAATGCAATCTAAGCATTGCAGGCTTATTCCTGTAATCTTAGCTACTCAGGATCTGAGTAGCTGGATCTGAGGATCACAATTACCAAAATAGGAAATTGCCAAATCTGAAATCATCAATTTTTTCCTCATGGAATGTTTGGCATTGAATCTTGATGCTTCCTACATTATGAACTTTAATCATATTTTGATGGAAATTTCTCTATTGTCTTGGAATGTTTACTTTGCAAATTTATCATTTTATTTCAAATAAACATTGTAGATCAAAGACTTTCTATGTCTAGCTATATACACATAAATTACTTAAAAGCAACATGCTAATCATTAGTTTTCTTTAAATCTGTTACTATATAGAAAATAGAATACATTTATCAGTTGTTCAGGGTCTTCAAAACAAATGAAATCTAATTTAATAGTTTGATTTCTAAAACAAAAGAAAGTCACTCACTGAAGTTTGGGTTCTCCTATGAAAGTCTGGAAAAATTGTCCTAAATTTCATCTTCTATAAAATGGCAAAATAAGGGCAACATTATGAAGTTGTGAGCTGTTTTGAGAAAATTTCCTTTAATTATAGACTATCACACTTTCCCACTTTTTATTCTCAAAGGTGAAGTGCTGCTGTGTAGCTCAGAACTGTAGCTTGTGGCTGACGTTTGGTGCTGGTTTAGCACCTAACTAGACTTACCTCAAGGTGGAGGAAGAAGGAAAACGTCTTTTGTGCTCAATGTGAATGACTCATTGCTTCATTAAAATTAACCCATCATATCTCTTGATCTTTCATAACAAAATAATGCCACTAAAAAGACATTGCAGCTGGGAATGTGGCTTAGTGGTAGAGTGCTTGCCTATCATTCATGAAGCCCTGGGTTTGATTCCTCAGTACCACATACACAGAAAAAGCTGGAAGTGGTGTTGTGGCTTAAGTGGTAGAGTGCTATCCTTGAGCAAAAGCAAGCTCAGGGACAGTGCCCAGGCTCCAAGTTCAAGCCCCAGAACTGGCAAAAAATAAAAAGACATTGCAAACCCTAGTACCTGTGTTAGTGTACACACACACACACACACACACACACACACACACTTACAAAACAATTCTGATGAGTCAATTAATGCATCCTTTCATCTGTTTGGCACAGAGAATTTCCTCTGTGATGGCAGTTTTCAGTGCATTCAAACTTCAGGTGAAGCATTGACAGAAGCTTCCTTTTTTCTAAAATCTGAATGTAAAAACACCTGACTCACTTGAATTATTTCCTAGAATAGTTACTTGGGTGGAGGCTCATCAAGTTAATAACTAAACCTAACTCTCAAGTGTGTTGGCAAAGGGCATAACACAGCTTAATGATGCTGTATCCACCCAGAAAGATAAAGGAAGCTTTGAGATCCTGATCAGTTGACTGGGGAAAGGAATGTGACTGGTACCTGGGACACTGAATGAGTGTCTTGAATTGAAAATATTTTAAAAGTTAGAGAATTGGGCCAGTCTTTCAGAGAATGACCTACATCAAACCTGAGGAAGATGGGGATTAGAAAACTTCAAAAAGAGAATATCTTGTGTAAGAGACATAAGGCAGAGCATTAGTATTTGCATTGTGAGGTATGAGTCAGAGTTGTGCTGGCTTAGAACAACGAGTTAAACACATCCAACAACCTAGTATATGGATGTGTCACCAAATGGCCTCAGGTATGTCCAGCCTACCCCAATGCCTGGCATGTAGTGTCACTCACATGTTTTTTTTCTCCACTTGTATGATTTCCCCTTTGTTAAAAAGTAAGAATCTTCAAGATGATACCTACATGATAGGTATGTAGTTCATATTTCTAAAGTGTTAGTGTCTCAGATGTAGCTTTTTAGATCCTGCTATGAACAGTTCTAAACATGACAACTAATGTAGCTATTTGTATTAAATTTCTGTTATATGGTTCAGAAATTATTTGGGGAGGGCATTTTGGAACAAAGACTTAGCTTACTGTGTACTTGCTATGATTTTTGTCAAAACCAACCAACACCTACATACAATCATAATATACAAATTCTAAATATCACTGATCATTCTATTTTGAATGCTTAGCTCTCAGTGTTGATGTTTTGAGCTTGGACCCCATCTTTCATGACCTTTCCATGAGAAAATAATGCATTGAAATACAAGCAAATTGTAATAACTTACAGTTTCCTAAATACTACGTTAGTTCTGAGTAAGGATGAAATATACTCAAAAGGTAAGCATACAAGCCTGGCACCAATGTCTCCCACCTGTAATCCTAGCTTACTCAGGAGACCGAGATCTGAGAATCACAGTTTGAAGCCAGCCATGGCAGCAAAGTCCATGAGACTCATACAATAAACCACTCAGAAAAAGCCAGAAGTGGTGCTGTGTCTCAAGTGGTAGAGCACTAACCTTAAGCACAAAGAGGTTCAGGGACAGCCCCCAGACCCTGAGTTCAAGCCCTAGGACTGGGGGGGAAAAAGATAAAGTACATCTAAAGTGTATGTGTATATGTATAGGTATATGAAATAAGGAATGAACATCTAAACTAACTGGTTACCTCTTTTTCAACTCCACTCAGCCAACTATTTCATGACATGATCATCAAATCATGTTATATGTTTAGAATTTTATTAGTATAAAATAAATACTATACACACACACAGAGTAACAGCACTTTTGTCAGCACATTTAATCCTGTATCTCTTGTTTGGTGTTTTGCTGAAGTATATTTTTTCCTTTTCTAGAATATGCTAATTACCTTCCAGAACAAAATATCAAAAAAATCACAAGAATTTTACTGAGCTTGTATAAAATTTTGGCAGGCTGCATTTTCTTGAGAATTTACCTTCCTGTTTCACATCCTTCCTTTCTACTCTCTTCAAATGACCACTTTTTGGGGCAAGTTTCATCAAAATAGATACAGCTTTGTTGTTGGGCCAGTCCATTTAGACAGGAAGAAACTTGCATGGAGAGGCACTGCTGCGCCCACAAAATTGTCCTGGCACCCAGAAAACAAGTCTGCTGTTCGGTGCTTTGTGTCACGTGCCTGAAGAAGTAGGGCACTGAAACCCAGGAGCTTGCAGAGCTCTTTGTAGGGATGAGGGAGAAGCACAAGATGCAGAATGATTGAAGGGGAGGACATGCTCCCAACGGAGAGGAAAAGAAAGAATGGTCTAAAGATTTCAAAGACAGGAAATGTGTGTGTGTGTGTGTGTGTGTGTGTGTGTGTGTGTGTGTGTGTGTGTGTGTGTGTGTGTACAGGAAGGAACTAGATTGTGAAATAACTGCAAGCACTGCCGGTCAGCCTGTCTCCCTTTGAAAGACAATAATTTTTTTAAAAATTTGAATGATTTCCTAACAGGAAGTAACACAATGGAAACTGGATAATGATGGTGTAGAAAAAAATATCTAATAACTTGGGAGAAACAGGCTAAATAATTGATTAAAATAGCCTGTAAAAATCAAGATGGGGAAATAGAAAGGGAATTTTGCACATCTAGTTTTATTAGATAGGCATACATGTGGACCATATGCCAGATTTTCAAATTTGTCAAAGCATTTTAATGATCTCATCTTCAAATACAATGGCAAACTATATTCTCTTAGTATTGTGACATTTTATACTTCCAAAAATGGTAGTAAAAAATTGGCAAAGCTTTGATTGTATAGATTTCAGAAAAAATAATACTAATGGTAGTTTTAAAACTCTGAGTAAGAAAGATAAATTGTTTATTGTGGGATTTAAAAAGCCTATGTATCATATTTTACCTTAGTCAAATTAGAGCAAGTCTGCCTTATAAGTTAGCGATACTATATGTAAAACTATATCAGAAACCATTGGTTTGGGGCTGGGAAGGTGGCTCAGTGGTAGAGTGCTTGCCTTGCATGCATGAGGCCCTGGGTTCAATTCCCCAGCACTACATAAGCAAAAAGAAAAAAAGCCAGAAGTGGTGCTGTGGCTCAAGTGGTAGAGTGCTAGCCTTGAGCTGAAGAGCTGAGGGACAGCACCCAGGCCCAGATGTTCAGGCCCCACGACCGGACCCAAAAAAAAAAAAAAAGAAAGAAACCATTGGTTTATCTTATAAGAACTATTTTTTTCTGTGTGCTAGTACTAAGACTTGAACACAACCCAAGTGCTGTCCCTCAGCCTTTTCCATTCAAGGCCTGGGCACTGTCCCTCAGCTTTTTCCACTCAAGACTGGCACTCTACCCCTTGAGCCACACCTCTACTTCTGGCTTTTTGTAGTTAATTGGCAATAAAGGTCTCACTGACCCTTTTCTGCCCTGGCTGGATTTAAATCATGATCCTCAGCTCTCAACCTATTGAATAACTAAGATTATAGGACTGAACCACTGACTTCCCGTTCTTTAAGAACAATATTTTGAGATGGATTTGTAAACCCCAGAGCAAGGTTCTGTGTGCCCGAGGCCGCTGCTGTGCGGAGACCTCCAGGTGAAGCCGCTGTCACCATGTCTGATCAGGAGGCAAAACCTTCAACCGAGGACTTTGGGGATAAGAAGGAGGGAGAATACATTAAACTCAAAGTCATTGGGCAGGATAGCAGTGAGATTCACTTCAAAGTGAAAATAACACATCTCAAGAAACGCAAAGAATCATACTGTCAAAGACAGGGAGTTCCAATGAATTCACTCAGGTTTCTCTTTGAAGGTCAGAGAATTGCTGATAATCATACTCCAAAAGAACTGGGAATGGAGGAAGAAGATATGATTGAAGTTTATCAGGAACAAACGGGGGGGGGGGGGGGGAGTCATTCAGCAGTTTAGATATTCTTTTTATTTTCTGTTTCTTTTGCCTCAATCCTTTTTTATTTTTAAAAATAGTTCTTTTGTAATGTGGTGTTCAAAATGGAACTGAATACTAACACTCCCATCTCTTTAAAACATGTTAATTTGATTCTAGTGCTCATTATTATCATTTGTTTTCATTGTGCTGATTTTTGGTGATCAAACCTCAGCTCCTTTCACATTGCCCTCTCATTTTAAAAAATGACGTACATGCACAGAGAGGCCACTTTTCAGGACTGCAATTTTAGGTAACATCGACCAATTCGAGTGTTCACAAAGACTTTCCAATTGGCCCTGAAGTTCTAGCATGTGATTGCTTCACTCCTGGACTATGACTTTCAGTGGTAGATGGAAGTTTTTCATAAAACTGAACTGTGAGGAAAATAACCTTTCCTTAACTTGAAGCTACTTTTTAAAGATCTGAGTATCTCGGTTCAAAGCCAGCCCAGGCAGGAAAGTCCATGAGATTCATCTCCAATAAACCACTAGAAAACTGGAAGTGGTGCTGTGGCTCAAGTGGTAGAGTGCTTGCTTTGAGCTAAAAAGCTGAGGGATAGTGTCCAAGCCCAGAGTTCAAGCTCCACAACCGACAAAAAAAAAAAATGATGAAAAATACTAAAATATGGAAAGAGCTATTATGTTCGTGTATTAGAAGAATATTAATATTTAACAATGTTAATATCATTTGAGTGGCCTTAATACTAGAGGTTATCTATGAATTCAGTATAGTAAGTATCAAAATCCCAACAGCATTCTTTACAAAATTAGGACAAACTCTTAAAATTCATTTGGAAACATGAAGACCCTGAATAGCCAAATTCTGAGTGAAAAAGCAATACTAGACATATCACAATACCTGATTTCAAGTTATACTATAGAGTCATTTTAACAAAATCAACATAGTACTGGCATAAAATATGGAGACCAATGGAGCAGAGTAAAGAACCTAAAATAAATCCATAGAGTGACAACCATCCCGGTATCTGACAAAGGCACCCAAAGCACATAGTGGAGAATAGTGGAGAAAAGACGGCCTCCTCAGCAAATGTTGCCAGGCAAATGCTATACCCACCTGCGGAGGCCTGGGCCTGGGCCTTTTGTGCTGCACAAAATCTGCTCACGTGCTTGTAGACTTTAATGTAAGACCTCAAACTGCAAAACTACTGGAGGAAAACAGAAGTGATGCTCTTCTAGGAAACAATAACAAGATTTGACAAAAGGAACTTCATCAAATAAAAAGCTTTTATGCAGTAAGCAAGCATAAGAGTGAGACTGCCTACAGAGTGAAAGAAAAATCTTTATTTGACAGTAGATAAATATCCAGAATATCTGAAGAGCCCAAAAAGCTTAGCATCAAAGGAACAATTGCTTCAATTAAAAAAAAAATGGCACATGATCTGATCAGGTATCTCCCAAAGGAAGAGGCACCAATGACCAATTTTTTTTTTTTTAAAAGGCATATATATGGCATGGTTTTAAAAAAGTAAAAGGTCTGGGGTTGGGAAGTTGACTCAGTGGTGGAGTGCTTGCTTCTCATTCCTGGATTTGATTCCTTAGCAACACATAAGCAGAAAAAGCTGGAAGTGGTGCTGTGGCTCAAATGGTAGAGCACTAACCTTGAGCTGAAAAGCTGAGGGACAGCGCCCAGACTCAGAGTTCAGGCCCTATAACCTCTTCCCCACCCCCCCAAAAAAATAAGAGGTCAACCTCTTTGGCCATCAGGAAAATTCAAATCAAATTCACATCGAAACCTAGTGTGGTAGCACATCCACACAATCCCAGTACTTTGGAGGCTGAGTCAGGAGAACAGCAAATTCGAAGCCAATGACTTTGTCTAAAGCTGGAAACAAAACAACAAAAGAACAACCAGGATATTCCATCTCATTCTACTCAGAGTGACTATTATCAAACAAAAACTCTTGTTGGGAAGGAAAAGAAAGCCTTATACACTATTGTAGAAATGTAAATTGGTACAGCCACTGTGGAAACCTTAATAGCCTTCAAAATCTAAAAATAGGCCGGGCATGGTATACTTGCTAGTCTGGCTCTCAGCTGCTTGACACACGCCTCCAACCATGCCTTTTGTTGGTTGGTTTGAAGATGTAGTCTAGGAAACTTCTGCCTGAACTGGCCTCAATCCTTTCCATATCAGCTTCTTGAGTAACTAGGATTACAGATGGAGCCACAGGCATCTAGCCTACCACCTTCCTTTGAGTTGAGCAAGGGAAAACCTCCAATCAAAATCAACTCCAAATGCTTCAGTACTAATACAAGAATGGGAACTCCATGGCATATGTTACACACATGGTTCAAAATGAATAAAGTGGAAATACATATATTAACATGGTAGGCCTCAAATATATAATTCTGCAGGCAGAAAAGTTATTAGGGAATACAATTACTTGATTTCATTTATAAAAAGCTTAAAATCATGTAGAAATATAGACTTATAAAATGTATATGTATATATTTAGTCTCCAGGCTTATCACACATATGACCAAAAATAGGTTCAAAACTCAGAAAAATCAGTCACCTTTCCCTTAAGAAATACACTTCTATTTGTGGCTAAAAACGTTGTTGGAGCGGCTGGGAAGGTGGCTCAGTGTTAGAGTGCTTGACTTGCATGCAGGAGGCCCTGGGTTCGATTCCTCAGTACCACATAAGCAGAAACAGCCGGAAGTGGCGTTGTAGCTCAAGTGGAAGAGCGCTAACCTTGAGCTGAAGAGCTGTGGGACAGCGCCCAGGCCCAGAGTTCAGGCCCACAACCCGGGGGAAAAAAAAAAAAAAGTTGGAACAAGTAAAGGTAACTATTCTAAATACTAATGGTTTGGATCATAGTCAGTGCTGAACTAGTAAGTCATATGGAATTAGGTTATGATATACTTAGTGTTGAATGATCCTGGCAACCTCTGATCAAAATGCTTTCCAATTAGACATTACACAGCTCCAGGATGTGATCCTCTGGGCCACAACACAGGTAAACATTTCCCTAAACCTGTTCTACAACTCTGCTCTATTATCTTAGGGGCCTGTGTGCCAAGACAGTTCTCATGTCTATAATAGATAAGTATAGCAACTGCTTTGGGCTTTGCCTACTAAATTTGTTTTAAACACTTAAATACTTTCTTATGAAATACACACAGAGAAATTCACAAAGCAAACACAAGGATGGGCCAATGGAAACGTATCAGTGTAACCTCCAGCCAGCAGCTGAGGGTCCCCATGTTCCTTTCCTCATGACATCTGCATTGTACTGTTCACGGGAACCACTCTTCGGATGTTTTGGGGCTCCCTCCTTTATAGTTTTCCCTACCAACTATGCATCCCCCAAAACGCAGTTTGTTCCTGCGTCAAACTGTTATGGATGGAATGGCAGTGCTTATGTAACCATGTCTGTTTCTTCTGCTCACCATGATGTTCGCTGAGTTTCCTATGTGTAGAACATTATCCACAGATATTCTCCAAGATCTGAGTCTTGTTTACATCATATAGCTGCCATACTTTGTATTTTATGTAGCATTTTAGCACTGGATGGCATCAAGAATGCTATTTTTGGTATTTTAATATGCCTACAACTGGAGCCCCAAAAGCCTTTCTACCATATAATAAGAGTTTTATGAGAGAGGCAGGCTGGTGGAGGCCTCGAGAAGATTCTAGAGGTGCCGCGGGCCGCGGGCTCGCGCACGGTCGGTCCGGGCAGGTGCTGTGTCTAGCGGCTGTCAGGGTCTCTGCTCGCGGTGGCCGCGCGCTGGGCGGCCTTTCCCGTTCAATCCGGTGCATGACACGCCCGAACCATGGCTTCGGCTTTGGAGGAGCTGCAGAAAGACCTAGAAGAAGTAAAGTCTTTACTGGAAAAATCCACTAGGAAAAGAGTACGTGATGCCCTTACAACGGAAAAATCTAAGCGTGAGACAGAAATAAAGAACAAGATGCACCAGAAGTCACCGAAGAAACCACAAGTTGACAATGAAAAGCCAGCTGCTGAGGCTGCTCCCATTGCAACTGGATATACAGTGAAAAGCAGTAATTACGGATGGGATCAGTCAGATAAGCTTGTGAAAATCTACATTACCTACACTGGAGTTCATCAGGTTCCCACTGAGAATGTGCAGGTGCATTTCACGGACAGGGCCTTTGATCTTTTGGTAAAGAATCTGAACGGAAAGAGTGACTCCGTGATTGTGAACAACCTCTTGAGGCCCATCTCTGTAGAAGGCAGTTCAAGAAAAGTCAAAACAGATACAGTTCTTATCTTATGTAAAAAGAAAGCAGAAAACGTACGATGGGATTACTTGACTCAAGTTGAAAAGGAGTGCAAGGAGAAGGAAAAGCCTTCCTATGACACTGGAGCAGATCCTAGTGAAGGATTAATGAACGTTCTAAAGAAAATTTATGAAGGTGGAGATGATGATATGAAATGCACCATTAATAAAGCCTGGGTGGAATCAAGAGAGAAGCAAGCCAAAGGAGACCCAGAATTTTGAGACTTTTAAATCCTTTTGGGACTGTGATGTGGAAATACTGGTGTTTCCAATAATGGACTGTTGGCACATACAGATTGGGCAGATGGTATTTACACAGCCTTCTAAGCAAAGGCAGTGAATTCTCCATTTCTTACTGGAGGATTTCTTTAAATAAAATATGCTTATTAAACACTTCCTCCAAAGATGCTTTCATTAGTATCCTAGTTATATTTTTAAGAAGGGGTTGGGTATATGGCAGTCTCATTTAAATAAATTTTGCCTAAGGAATATGCTATATTACATGTATTTTTGTTCCACTAGGAAAACAATAGTTGAATGCCAGTGAGTTACTGACACCACTTCCCACTAATGTAAGAATAAGATTAAAATCAAATTTTTGCATTAAAAAGTTTTAAAAGTTATAATATTTCTAGAGTATCTATCATGCACTAGGACTGATGAAACACTGGTCACATAATATTTTTGTACTCAAGGAAATGCTGTACAGTACTAAAAGTTTGCCTATGCTTTTTTATACATAAAAAAATAAAATTCACAAAGAAAAAATAGGTTTCAGAATTTAGCCTTTCTGAGATTTACT